AAATACCTCCCCTTCTGTTCTCTGTTCCATCCACCGGATCCTCCGGAAATCGGGAAGGGCAAGGAGTGTCCTTACAAATCCTTACAAGTCAAAGATGCTTTGAACCTTCATTGCCCATAAATGTATTCAGTGTCTTTAGTGTCCCTTTGAGAAAACCGGCTTGAGGCCGTCCAGTCCTTGAACTTTCCACTGGGCTTTTCGTTTCCGTTGCTGATGTTGTGAGGGGACAACGCTGTCACCCAGCGGAGAGGCAGCCTTTGTGTGCTGGTAATGCACCCACGCTTGGATCCCCTCAACCTTCAGGCTGGATGGGGTCGTCAAGATCATCCGGGGTGGCCCTTTCCTCTTTTCGGACAGATGGTCTGAGCCTTTAGACCACGCCTTCACATATACCCAATCCCCGGGCTGAAATGGATGCAGAGGTTCAGACAAGGACTGGAGTTGTTTCTCCAAGAGCACCCGTTTATTTTCCGTGCAACAAAACAGAGATCCCCATTAAATACCCCTTCAAATCAGCCCCTCCCCGCTTTTCAGGTCTTCCTTCCCCTTGTGCCCTGGTAGGGAAGTGACTATATAGGGGCGCCCATAAAGAGCTTCAAGGGCTGATTGCCAATTTTCCTCTAGGCAAGATTCGAATTCGTTGCAATGCCTGTGGGAGCAAATCCACCCAGCCTAGTTTAGTTTCTTGTGACAATTTCCTGAGGTGTGCCTTTACTGTCTGGTTCAGTCTCTCCACCTGGCCCGACGCCTGTGGGCGATGAGAGGCGTGCAGCTTCCAGGGCACATCAAGAAATTGTGCCACCTCCTGAACGATGGTAGCAACAAAGTGCGGCCCATTATCCCTCCCAAGGGATTCCATGTCGTGGTATAATTTCCCTTAAAACAGTCTTAACTCCCTCCCTAGCCTGGTTGGTTTTACAAGGGAACGCTTCAGGCCACCCCGTTAGAGAGTCCGCAAACACCAGGCAATACCGATATCCTCTATGCCTGGGCAATTGCCCCTGGGTTGAGTGCCCATGGGTCCTTTTCTGATTCCTGTATTTGGGTTATT